GACTGATAATTTAGTTGTTGTACCAGTGTCCAGCCTACGTAGTCTTTGTTTTTATTTGTCTGTCAATGATGGTGCAGACACTCACCATTACATTATTGAACGAGTCAATAGTTTAGAAGCTGAGTAATGCTCTTCTTATTGATTATTAATTTTAATTATTTGACTGCCACTTAGGCTATTGTTGTAAATAATTACTGCTTCATCTTATCTGCACATGGCTTCATAATGTATAATCAGTGAACAAAAAAATGTGCAATGACAAAATGTGTAAACTAACTCAACCGAAAATGCATTCAACTACTATATTTGGTCTCTAAATAAAATTATTCTGTTTGCAACAAAAATGTAATTTCTAACTTCCTCCTTGAATACGTTCTTCTCAAATGTCACACCCATACCATAATAATTTAAGCTTAGTTATATTTTTGGTGAATATACACTAGCATAATTTAGAAAATTATGTAAACTCAATGCTCTTCCCATTATCCCTTAAGGGAGTAATATGTATATCAGGATACAAGGCACACACAAGAAACATCATTGGCAACATCAAATAGATTATTACTGTATTTGCTTTCCACTTTCTCGCATATCATACACACTTCCAAGTAAAAGCCAGTGAAAATATTTAGAACTAATAAAGTTACTAGGTTTTGTACAAAATATAAAGTAGATTTGCAAGGTGACAGCTTAAGTAAGCTAAGAATATAATGACACTTAAAAGACTAAATCACAAAAATTAGAAAACAATTGGAACACTACAGAGCTAAACAAGTAAATAAATTGATATAAAATGAAAACTTATCCTAACTTAGTCAATTTTAGTAAAAATAATCATCAGAATATATACAGATAAGTCAGAAATGTACAAGGATACGAGGATGGATTCTTCAATCCGTTCCTCTCTTGGAACGCTTATTCGGAGAGTCTTCCTGGGAATCTTCCGCCTTCCGCTTTCCTCTTTCTTCTTTGTCGCTGGGACTGTTGGGTTCTGAGTGAATGAAGCATGAAATAGAGTTTAGATTAAGAATGGAAGGACACATAGGATAATTCAGAGGAACGCAAAACTCTACTCACCACTTCCTCCAACATCTTGCGTATTGAAGTTCCAGTCAGTACACGATTCGTTATGCCACTTGCAAACTCTGTTGTAATATTCTGTCCCTGCGGCTTTTGCTTCGGCTCTTGTCACTGAAATGAAACAAGACAACATTAGTTACTGTCAACGGCGAACTGATGAAGCATGCCACTAAATATTATAGATTTTAAACAAACTCACATCCCGTCCCAAGAACCACACCCACCTTTCCTCCAACCGTAACAGGAAAACCAGTCTCCAGTGGTGCCCGAAGGCGATACGACTCGAAGGAACGCTCTTGTAGCATCATGATAAATGCGTACATGTTGATGGAAATGACCTCTGTCTGTAAACAAACATCAAATGGAATTATTCGACAGGTTACAGAGGGCAAGCACACGCGCTACAAGCAGGCTACGTGTAGCCCACATAGGCACAACGTCAGACATTAATAACGACTTAGAAGACCACAATATTGGCATGGACAAGTCGGTGAGCGAAATAAAGGTTTGCGGTGCTTACCGTAATAGCACACACGCACCGGCGACGGACGAAATCAGTCTGAGAGTAGGAGCGAAGGCGAGGCAGGCGAGAGACGGTCGGGCTGGGTGTGTGTGTGTGTGTGCGCGAGGGGAGGGGGGGGGGGTAAAGAGGATGACCAATGCGACGCGACGCGCCGATTTCTCATCCCACTGAATTGGCGGTACTTTTTCGAAGCTTCGGAGTTTTGACTCTCCAGGTGTAGTTATACTGTACCGCACACACAAGTGCGGTCGGGTTGCCTACTCGCTCGACCCGTAAGGCGCTGTGCAGAGGGGCGATAGGCAAGCCCGCCCGCACTGCGTACGGTACAGTATAACTACTGTAGTGTGCGGTGTTTATCACCCACCTAGTACTTTGCAAAAGCAAGCGGTACAATATTGTGGAATCAAGAGATGAACTAGGCCAAATTCTGTTCACATTTCACTTGATTGTCAATGGAGATCGCCAAAAGACGGACTGATGACGTACTTTGCCTAGAGGAACAATAACAAGCTGGGCCCGCCCTTCCGCCAAACCAAGTTGCCAGCTCTGCTTCGCATCACCGGCAACTCGGTTCGGCAGGGAGCGGGCCCAGCTTGGCCTGCCGGCGGCGTTTAGGACGGGCCTTCGGCCCGTCGCTTCTGAATTTAATGGTGTAATACATGTTCTATCCGAAAACGGGCCTTCGGCCCGTTGGAGTGACGGCTCGCTTTGGACTATCTTTTTGCCAGGTACCTTTTCTGTCTACTTCGTAATCAAAACTCAACCAACGAAGTATTCTTTTCATACGCTGGACATCTTTGGCTGTGTGTGCCGCAGTTTGTAGAATACATGGAAGTTATGCCAAATCCGTTCTAAGTTATTGATGTTAGCTTGTGAATCAAATAACACATCTATGAAAAGATACATAAGACTAGCCCTAGAAGAAGTTAAATATACTTCCCGGCATACTCTGAATGACTCCGAACGTGTTCGAACAACAAATAAATGTTTTTTGGGTGTTTTTTTATTTGCTTTTTTGCATGGAAGTGTACACGTTTTATTAATGATGTCCCACCATAAAATAAGCCCACTCTTTCTGCTTATAAGAAAATTTTGAACCGACGGCATACTTCTCAGACTGAAGTGTACTTCTGAAAAAGTAAAAATATTTCTGTTTTGGCCAGTTTGGTAAGAAAAACTCCCTTTAGTAAGTAAACAGGACAAAACTTTACCCCAACAGGCTCTACTTTCACAAGTTACCCCTTAGAAGACCATCAAATGTTTTCTAAAATTATTATATTCATTTTTAAGCCACTTTCGTGGGTAAAACTCCCTTTAGCGCGTAAACGGTGAGAGATAGAGCCAAACGGACAAAATGTTCGCCTAAAGGCCTCTACTTTCACGCGTTACCCCTTAGAAGACCATCAAATGTTTTCTAAAATATATATATATGTATTTTTGGGCCACTTTCGTGAGAGAAACTCGTTTTAGCGCCTAAACGGTGAGAGATAGAGCCAAACGGACGAAATTTTCGCCCAAAGGGCTCTACTTTGAC